CGTCAGCCAATCGAGCGTAACGTGACAATACGTTACTCCGTGACAGAGCAAGTCATGCAATCACTGCTAGACATCGGCAGGATTGTGAAGAATGTGACGGACCCTGCTCGATCCACAATTGAATCAGTCAAGAAAGGTCCTCGTGGTTTTATAAACGAGTGCAAGATAATCACCAGGAACACAGAAGGAGAAGTGTGTCCCACAAGAATCGAGTCTATTGATGTTAGAATYAAAGATGTGGAGGGCAACGAGGTGGAAAAGAAAATGTCTGAAGAGCAAACTGGAAAATACCGTGTGAGTTTTAAGCCACAAAAAAGTGGACGGCACGAAATTCAGGTGAATATTGGAAGAGAAAAGATCAAGAACTCGCCTCAGAATGTAGAGATACTCGATGTGAAGGAGTTGTTCAAACCTGTGAAAACATTTGGAGGACGTGGAAGTGGTAGAGGACAGTTGAATTATTCATATTCGATAGCAGTCAGTGATAATGGAGAGATAGCCATTGCTGATTGTAGAAATCACCGTATTCCAATATTCAGTCTTGATGGAAACTATTTAAGAGAGTTTGGCAGGGAAGGAACAGGAGAAGGTCAACTATATTATCCATTTGGAGTGGTGTTTAATGAAGGCAGGATAATTGTCAGTGATGGTCAAGGTTGTAAAGGCAGGATACAAGAGTTTGACTTGAACGGTACTTATGTAAGAACCATCTACAGACATGACCAATGGTTTGCACCGCGTGGAATGTGTGTTAACGATGATAAAAACATCGCAGTGTGCTGTGAGGGAAAACAAGAACTGGGTATCAAACCAAGTATCAAGGTGTTCAGTAAACAAGGAGATTTAGTTCATGAGTTTGATATGCCTGATAATAATGAACAGCCTCGGTACATCACCTATGGTAACGCGAAATATTTTGTATCTTATTGGAACATAAACTATGTTCGTGTTTTTGATGTGAATGGAGTTTTCTTGTACAAGTTTGGAGAAGAGGGAGAAAGAGACGGTCAGTTTAATGGTGTACATGGACTGGGTGTTTATGGTCCAGACATGATTCTTGTCTGTGATGGTAATAATCACCGTGTTCAACTTTTCACACAAGAAGGTCAGTTTATAAGGTCATTTGGTAGCCGTGGTTCAGGTGTTGGTCAGATGAATGTTCCTGTTGATGTAGTAGTTACAGCTGATGGTCGAGTGTTTGTGCTAGAATGTNCACCGTATTCAAATATTCAGTCTTGATGGAAACTATTTAAGAGAGTTTGGCAGGAAAGGAACAGGAGAAGGTCAACTATATTATCCATTTGGAGTGGTGTTTAATGAAAACAGAATAATTGTCAGTGATGGTCCACATGGTAAAGGCAGGTTACAAGAGTTTGACTTGAACGATACTTATGTAAGAACCAACTACAGACATGACCAATGGTTTGTACCGCGTGGAATGTGTGTTAACGATGATAAAAACATCGCAGTGTGCTGTTGGGGAAAACAAGAACTGGGTATCAAACCAAGTATCAAGGTGTTAAGTAAACAAGGAGATTTAGTTCATGAGTTTGATATGCCTGATAAAACTGAACACCCTCGGTACATCACCTATGGTAACGGGAAATACTTTGTATCTTGTTTGGACATAAATTATGTTATTGTTTTTGATGTGAATGGAGTTTTCTTGTACAAGTTTGGAGAAGAGGGAGAAAGAGACGGTCAGTTTAATGGTGTAGGTGGACTGGCTGTTTACGGTCCAGAAATGATTCTTGTCTGTGATCGTTATAATAACCGTGTTCAACGTTTCACACAAGAAGGTCAGTTTATAAGGTCATTTGGTAGCCGTGGTTCAGGTGTTGGTCAGATGTATGGTCCTGTTGATGTAGTAGTTACAGCTGATTGTCGAGTGTTTGTGCTAGAATGGTTGAGTAATAGAGTTACTGTTTACTGGTAATAGATATCAACCATTGAACAATTCTTTACATTTATATCCCTCTCATACAGTACAGTATAACCCTAATAACTCTTCCATTATGTTTTCCATGAAAACTTTGAGAAAAACATTGATTTTGTCCTCATTATTGATGAGTAAACTTGAAATTAGTATTACTTAGTTTGTAGATTCTCTTTGTTTTTCCAATTACATTTAGAGAAATTTGTTTCTTTTATCATTTTGATGAGTTAAAAAAGTTATTAAATAATTAAATAATAGTTAAATAATTCTGTATCAGCTACTATTGTGATATTAGTGTTAGCTATAGCTATTCAGTATTGTCTCACCTTCATAGCATGGCAGGCCCTTTTATTTAAAGTGCCGCTACGCAGGCTAAGCTATTGTATACTAGATGAAGTGATATTGTAGACTTGATGAAGTAATGCCAATCTTCGGGCTGTTTCAAATCGGAATTTTAATCCGCTGACCAAAAGTATGGCTGACGCTATTCTTGCGTAAAACTATATATCATATTACGAGAAGCGTGGTTTCGAAATTCGACTTCTTCCAAACAAGAAGGGATCGCTGATCGTGAGGAAATTATTTACTTTATTCGTGGATGATATCAAATGCATGGTATTTGTGTCTAAATGATTCAGAAAATGAAGGAATGACAAGGTCTATAAACATTGTCTGGGAAAGCGAAGACCTCATTGGMAACAGTGACAGCGACGAAACTCTCGATTGTGAGGGCGAATAATTATATATATATATAACATAAAAAATAAATAAATAAAAACTTTAACTTCTACTAACAAATCAATTTATATATCATACGATTGTTTTTCTATTTCTTAAGTGTATCATATCATTAACTTGGATTTTATTTACATATAAACATGTACTAGTACATAAGATGAT